AGTAAATTTTGAAAAGGAGTCATTTGACCCCGCTTGGTACGTTTAGTGTTAAACGACACGTTGGAAAGATATGATCAACAAAATTCCGTGTTAAATATCATTTGAATGACTATTTTCAATGCTATGTGTATCATTTTATTTGAAGTGGTGCTTCGTAAATATAAATTGCTGCTAGATGATGCGAAAGTTTGTCGAGGGTAATTAATTAGTAATTTGTAAACTTGAAATTGGAGCGAGATCGAGGTGGCAGTGACTCGAAACAGCAACATTTTAAACGCGGAGGAAGTGCCTCGTCGTAATTGTAAATCCAGCGTCGATGGGAGGGGAGGTTTTCTCGATATCGTCGATGGGGGTGCGAGACTGCTTCAACGCTGCTGGCTCGATTCCATCCCTCGTCGTTAAATCCGCGAGTCGAATAATTAATCCACGTCGACCTTGAGCCAACCACGGCGTACGCAAATTCGCGAGAGATAACTCGGATTTCCGCGGCGAGACTATTTTTACATTGGAAACTTTCCAATGCCACCTACATACCGTTACGTTCGTTCGTGATCTTCGTTTCCTGCCTCGAAAAAGCTGCGTCAACGCTCGGTCGAAAGAGAAAGTGAAAGATATCGAGAGTTTACGCTCCAACGATCCACCGCGGAGAGATGATAACACGCGATCGTAATCACAATCGGAGAGAACTCTGTGTAAAGCACGAAAGCAGTTGTTCGCTAGATAATTGGAGTTTCCAAGCGGTTCTTCGAAATTCCACAGATCAGACGCGTGAAAGCGAAGCTCTCCCAAATGACAAAAGTTTGCTTCACGTTTATACCATCGTTTACTCTTTACTCAGAAAAGAATCGCGCGTTCTGCAATTCTGTAGATTTCGCGCATTCTAAAGTTCTACAGATTTCGTGTATTCGAAGAAATGTTACAAGGACTCTTGAAAATACTCTTGCGAAACGAGCTGAAACATTTAACACGGAAACGAGGAAACGTGACTTTGGAACTTTGCTTGTAAATATGGAAAGATACGGAAAGAAGGAAAGCAGATCGTGCAAAGCATGTTTGTTGAACGAATGCACGCCAGACGAAGACGTTTTCACGTTACGACACACGATCGCGTATTACGTGACACTCGATCGAGTAAATCAAAAATTTACGGTGCGCTAAATTGCTAAATTTCCATCTGCTTGCAAAACAGATGTTCTTCACGTTGAAGTCCAGTCTCGGAGTCTCGGAATCTTTTGTGAACGTAATCAGAGGCTGGTACCAGCAGAGTTCATTGCACGCCGGCATCGACGCGACGTGACTTCCGTCTGCACCTTTGTAGATGCATCGGAAGCCACGCCGATGAAATAGCGGTGGCGAGACGTCGGCGATAACGTCAGAAATTTCCGAAGTCGGACCATTGTGATATCCAAAACACGGGACTAAAATCCGGGTAAATTTTTCGCCGGGCAGATTGCGCGACGAAATCGACGCGATTGGCAATCTCACGTTCACGCGATCAGACGAATTTGAAAAAGCGTCACTTTCAAAAGTGTGCTCTCGTCGCTTCGATCCAAACGGAACCAAGAATTGTCTCTCGTTTCTCTCGCGTCCAAGTTTTGCTCGATTTTAATACGATATTCGCGGCACTCGGAACTGGA